TTTGATAACAGCTCATTCGTTGGAGATATCAAACCGAACTCGAACATGAAATTATGTTACTTTAATTATTGAACGAACACGAACAAGTTCGCGATCTATTCGAGCGTTCGCAAACAAAAAAAATTGTAATGTTATATGTCACATTTAGTATATGCATGTATAATATAATATATAAATATTAATATATATATATATTAAATATTAAATAAAATAAATTGTATGCCATTAGAATAACAAAAAAAAAAGTTAACAAACACGAACGTGTCGAACAATTCGAACACGAACTTGTCGAACAGTTCAAGAAGAAGTTCAATTAGATAAACGAATGAACACGAACATGTGGAACCAATAAACGAACGAGTTGTTATCATTGTACCAAAAAAAAAAATAATAATAATAAAAATGAGTTGTTATCAAACAATATATACACACACACACATATATAAGGATTGGATCCAATCAGTCCACATATTTAAAGTGTGAATGTGAGACTCATTCCTAGCCACTTGATTGGTACATGATGTGTGGCCAAGATTTAACTCTTCATTTATAACAATTCTTTATTTATATTACTTTATTTTTTTTCTTTATTATTTTAATTATTTAAATATTGTTTTGATAATTGACCATTGACTTCGGCGTTGACCGTTGACTCCGGTGTTGACCGCTGACTTCCGACGTTGACCGTTGATTTCCGGCGTTGACTTCCGGCGAAAATCGTTGACTTCTGGCGTTGACCGTTGACTTCCGGCGTTGACTTTCAGCATTGACTGTTGACCCATAGTATGACATTGTGTATGAAGTAAATATGCATACAATATTATGCACTTAGTAAGAACTAAATATGCATAAGAAATGAATTATATATGTCATTCTTATGAACTAAATATGCACTAGTAATATCAATTATGTATGCACTGTTTATGTACTAAATATGCACATTTTACTAACTAAATATGCATCAGGAATGAACTAAATATGCAACGAAAATATGCAATAAAATATACATTTTATACAATTAAATTAAATATAATAAGTAATGATTTTTATTATATAATTAATTTTAATTTTAAATTGATTAATAACACAAATAAATTGTTATGATTGGATCTCAAATAAAATAGGTATGCATTGTTCATGAACTAAATATGCATTTCGTAAGAACTAAATATGTATCATGAATTAAGTAAATATGCATAATAAATTAATTATATAAATATTATTATATATTTAATTTAAATATAACAAGTATGCATTTCGTATTAACTAAATATGCATCATAAATTACCTAAATATTCATAATAAATTAACTAAATATATATCATAAATTACCTATATAAAATGCACATTTTATTGCATATTTTTTGCTGCATATTTAGTTCATTCATGGTGCATATTTAGTTCATAACAGATGCATATTTAGTTCATAACAGGTGCATACTTAGTTGATATTATTGGTACATATTTAGTTCATAAGGACTGCATGTGCAATTCATATCTCATGCATATTTAGTTCATATTGAATGCATGGTACTCGATGCATATTTACTTCATACATATAATACATATTAATTATATATGTCATCCTTATGAACTAAATATGCACCAGTAATATCAACTATGTATGCACTGTTTATGTACTAAATATGCGACAAGGAATTTCGCTACCTTAGGAAGGGAGTTTACATTAGTTTTCACCCTATTCTTTATCATAATAAACATTTTACTAACTAAATATGCATCAGAAATGAACTAAATATGCAACGAAAATATGCAATAAAATATACATTTTATACAATTAAATTAAATATAATAATTAATGATTTTTATCATATAATTAATTTTAATTTTAAATTGATTAATAACACAAATAAATTGTTATGATTGGATCTCAAATAAAATAGGTATGCATTGTTCATGAACTAAATATGCATTTCGTAAAAACTAAATATGTATCATGAATTAAGTAAATATGCATAATAAATTAATTATATAAATTATTATTACATATTTAATTTAAATATAACAAGTATGCATTTCGTATTAACTAAATATGCATCATAAATTACCTAAATATTCATAATAAATTAACTAAATATACATCATAAATTACCTATATAAAATGCACATTTTATTGCATATTTTTCGCTGCATATTTAGTTCATTCATGATGCATATTTAGTTCATAACAGATGCATATTTAGTTCATAACAGGTGCATACTTAGTTGATATTATTGGTGCATATTTAGTTCATAAGGACTGCATGTACAATTCGTATCTCATGCATATTTAGTTCATATTGAATGCATGGTACTGGATCCATATTTACTTCATACATATAATGCATACTAGAGGTCAACGGGTCAACGCCGGAAGTCAATGGTCAACGCGAAAGTCAATGATTTTTCGCCGGAAGTCAACGGTCAACGCTGGAGTCAACTAATAGTTATTTTATTATTTAATTAATTTATATTTTAAGGAGTGGACTCATTTTAAGGAGTGGACTCATTTTAAGAAGCAGACTCATTGGATCCTCCCCCTATATATATATATATATCGGGGGTGGATCTAATGAGTCTACTCCTTAAAATGAGTATGTGAGACTCAATTTTAGCCACTCATTTTGTCTAGATCAAAATCAATTATAATATACATTAATTAAATAATAAAATAATTATTAGTTGACTCCGGCGTTGACCGTTGACTTCTGGCATTGACTACCGGCGAAAATCGTTGACTTTCGACGTTAACCGTTGACTTCCGACGTTGACTGTTGACCCATTGACCACTAGTATGCATTATGTATGAAGTAATATGCATACAGTACTATGCATTTAATATGAACTAAATATGCATGGGGTATGAATTGCACATGCAGTCCTTTTAAACTAAATATGCACCAATAATATCAACTAAGTATGCACTTGTTATTAACTAAATATGCATCTGTTATGAACTAAATATGCAGCGAAAAATATGCAATAAAATGTACATTTTATATAGGTGATTTATGACGCATATTTAGTTAATTTATTATGCATATTTTGGTAATTTATGATGCATATTTAGTTAATACGAAATGCATACTTGTTATATTTAAATTAAATATATAATGATGTTTATATAATTAATTATGATGCATATTTAGTTAATTAATGATACATATTTAGTTCTTACGAACTGCATATTTAGTTCACTAACAGTGCATACCTATTTTATTTGAGATCCAATCATAACAATTTATTTGTGTTATTAATCAATTTAAAATTAAATTTAATTATATAATAAAAATTATTAATTATTATATTTAATTTAATTGTATAAAATGTATTTTTTTTGCATATTTTCGTTGCATATTTAGTTCATTCCTGATGCATATTTAGTTAGTAAAATGTGCATATTTAGTACATAAACAGTGCATACATAGTTGATATTATTGGTGCATATTTAGTTCATAAAGATGACATATATAATTCATATCTTATGCATATTTAGTTCATATTAAGTGCATAATACTGTATGTATATTACTTCATACATAATGCATACTAGCGGTCAACGGGTCAATAACGGAAGTCAACGGTCAACGCCGGAAGTCAACGATTTTAGCCAAAAGTCAACGCCGGAGTCAACGATCAATGCCGAAGTCAATAGGTCAATTGTCAAAATAATATTTAAATAATTAAAATAATAAAAATAAAGAATTAAGTAATAAAAATAAAAAAAAAATATTTAAATGAAGAGTTAAATCTTGACCACACATCATGTACTAATCTAGTAGCTAGGAATGAGTCTCACATGCACACTTTAAATGTGTGGACTCGTTGGATCCAATCTCTCTCTCTCTCTATATATATATATATATTCTTATTGTATATAAATTATTATTTCATAAATATTTAAAATAATTAAATCATATCCTCCTTACATATTCTTCCCTTTAATTTCTTTATTTTTTCTCACAAAAAAAAAAAAGACAGAAAAGAGAAGAGGAGAGAAAGATTTCTTAAAAGAAGCCACACCACACCACCTTTTTTTTCCCTTTGTTCTTTTACTCCTCTTTCCCTCTTTTCTTAATTAAGATCTCTGTGTGATTCATGGCAGATATTATATATTCTTGTTAATTATTCCATTTTTTTTTTATTTAATAAAGTTTTTGTTGGATACATGTGCATTTGATGCCCCCATTACCATAGCCTCTACCATTTGTTCCCCTTTTCCCTGACTTTTCTCTTTACCTATATATGTAAAAGAACTGCCTCATCAACCCTATTTTTCTTGCACTTATTAACACCAAAAGGAGACATTTTTTTATATGTTGGTTCATATGTGTTTTAATCTTCAAAATGCCCTTTTTGATGGGCTCTTCCTTAACAACAAAGGTACAAATGTTGTTTCCCTTTTTTTTTTTTTTTTTTT